TAGATAGAGGAATAAACTTTGGAGGCAAGCGAGACAGCTGGCCCTTGTCCAGGCGAGCGTTGCCCTGCGGGAAGCCTGCCAGTCTCCTTGGCTGCCCATCCAGCCGCCCTGGCACGAGGGACACGAGGAGGTGCCAGGCCTGCCAGCCAATCAGCGTGCCAAGGCTGCTTCTCCTTGATCCCTCGCGTGTCTGTGCGTGAGTGACTGAGTGAGAAAGAGAGAGAGAGAGCTTGCCGGGTGCTGAAAGGCAGGAGGAAAGGCGAGGCGCTTCCTGCCTCCTCCTCCTCTTCTTCTTTGGCCAGCCAGGTGCGCTCCTTCCATCCGCGCAGAAGAGCCTCCCGACTTGAGCCGGGGAAGTTGGAGCCGAGAAGAGCCCCGCGGGGAGGGATTAACGCCTCGGGCAGAGCATCAGAAAGCAAGGCAGAGGGAGAGCGTGGGTACCGAGAGAGGCTGCGGGAGAGGAAGGGCAGGAGGCGCCGCGCTGGCCGGTCTCTTTGGAGCATGATCCCCGCCGGACGGGGCCGCTTGGGCCGGTGCAAGTGGGAGAGCCCTCCCCGGAGGAGACGCGGCTGGGCAGCACTCTGAAGCACGGCGCCAGGAAGCGAAGCCAGGATGGCAGCCGAAGGCAAGCACGCCGACTGGATGGGCTCCCTGCCGCCCCGCCTCAGCGCCCTGCCGCTGGCCAACCTGGCCATCCCAGGTAAGGAGCTGCTGAGACCTCTCCCCTTCCTTCCTTCCTTCCTTCCTTCCTTCCTTCCTTCCTTCCTCCTTCCTTCCTTCCTTCCTTCCTTCCTTCCTTCCTTCCTTCCTTCTTCCTTCCTTCCTTCCTTCCTTCCTTCCTTCCTTCCTCTGCCATCTTCTCCCATGCCTTCTCTTTCTATTCTGCAGCGTTGAAAGCATCTCCAGGGGGTTGTTCGAATCCAGTGGTTCTCAACTTTCTTATGCCGCGACCCCTTCATGCAGTTCCTCATGTTGTGGTGACCCCCAACCATAATACTATGTCGATGCTACTTCCTAACTGTAATTTTGCTACTGTTATAGAAACATAGAATCATAGAGTTGGAAGAAACCTCGTGGGCCATCCAGTCCAACCCCCTGACAAGAAGCAGGAAAATTGCATTCAAAGCACCCCCAAAAGATGGCCATCCAGCCTCTGTTTAAGTTTCCAAAGAAGGGGCCTCTACCGCACTTCGGGGCACTTTGGGGCAGAGAGTTCCACTGCTGAACAGCTCTCACAGTCAGGAAGTTCTTCCTAATGTTCAGATGGAATCTCCTTTCTTGTAGTTTAAAGACATTGTTCCGTGTCCTAGTCTCCAGGGCAACAGAAAACAAGCTTGCTTCCTCCTCCCTATGACTTCCCCTCACATATTTATACATGGCCCTCATAATGTCTCCTCTCAGTCTTCTCTTCTTCAGGCTAAATATGCCCAGCATAAATATGAGGAGCGTTAAGACGCTCCTCATAGGGCTTGTTCAGACCCTTGATCATTTTAGTCGCCCTCCTCTGGACACATTCCAGCTTGTCAACATTTCTCTTCAATTGTGGTGCTCAGAATTGGGCACAGTATTCCAGGTGTGGTCTAACTAAGGCAGAATAGAGGGGTAGCATGACTTCCTTGGATGTAGACACTATACTCCTATTGATGCAGGCCAAAATAATGAATCATAGGCTTTTAAACAGAGGCTGGATGGGGTGCTTTGAATGCAATTTTCCTGCTTCTTGGCAGGGGGTTGGACTGGATGGCCCATGAGGTCTCTTTCAACTCTATGATTCTCGATGTTCAATGAGAGGCCAAGCTTCTCGTATGCTTGGCCCAATCAATCCAAGTCTTCTCCAGGGCTTCCACTATACCAGGTATGGGCTAATTTGGGTCCTCCAGGTGTTCTGGACTTCAACTCCTAGCATTCCTAATAGCCTCTGGCCCCATCCTTTTTCCCCTCAGCTGCTTAAGTGGCTGAGAGGGAAAAGAAAAGGGCCTGAGGGTATTAGGAATGGTGGGAGTTGAAGACCAAAACACTGGAGGGCCCAAGTTTGCTCATACCTGGTGTAGCTGCACCCCAATGCCATTATCACTAGGTTTCCTGGAGCTCCAAAGGTGAGACTCACCTAGCACCAACAATGGCTTTAGTGGTGGAGCAGAGATTCAAGCTGCGGTTTTTAGAGTCATCCTCCAACAGTGAAACTGTGATGCTACTCAGGCTCTTTAAAGCACTGGAATTATTCCAATGGTTGGATCATATGCTTAGGTTCCATGAATAATGTAAATAAATCAATTCAAAAGCATTGGGTTTGTTTAAATTATTCTAACGAGATCATTCAACCACTTTCATTGTGTCCTGATTTTCTGGCTTTGTTCACTACCTTGAGAAAATATGTCACACTACCCAGTCAACTCAGTAGTTATTATTATTATTAGTATCATCACCATCATCATCATTATCATTATTTGTCAAGGTCCAGCCTTCTGAGTTTTTATCTTGATATCATTGGACTAAATCCAGTTTTATTCCCAACTAGAGCAAGTCCATTGAAACAATGGGGTCATTGTTTAAGTCAGCACTTAAACCCCACATAGTCAGCATTTTTATCCTTGTTATGTGGTTTTAACTGGCGGCATATGTTGTATTTTAACTTATTGGTCCATTAGAAGAGCCAGGTAAGAAGTAAATAAATGTTATTATTCTTGGATTACTGTGGGTTTTCTGGGCTGTATGGCCATGTTCAGAAGCATTCTGTCCTGACGTTTTGCCTACATCAATGGCAGGCATCCTCGGAGGTTATGAGGTCTGCTGGAAACTAGGAATGATTTATTTTCATGTCAGAAGCAGCTTGCAAAACTGCAAGTTGCTTCTGTTGTGAGAGAATTGGCCATCTGCAAGAACGTTGCCCAGAGGACGCCTGGATGTTTTGATATTTTACAATCCTTGTGGGAGGCTTCTCTCATGTTCCCACATGGGGAGCTGGAGCTGACAGAGCTCATCCATGCTCTCACCTGTTGGTCTTCAGTCCTCCCAGCACAAGGGTTTAACCTATTGCATCACTAGTCAAGTGAGGTTTATATATCTGTGAAATGTCCAGGGTGGATGAAATAACTCTTGTCTGCTTGAGGCAAGTGTGAATGTTGGAAATGACCACCTTGATTACCATTGAATAGTCATTTGCAACATTCACACTTGCCACAAGCAGACAAGTTCTTTCTGCCACCCTGGACATTCCACATATATATAAACCTAGTTTCCCACAGACCCTTCAACCTCTGAAGATGCCTACCATAGATGTGGATGAAACACCAGGAGAGAATGCTTCTGGAACATGGCCTTACAGCCCAGAAAACTCACAGCAACCCAGTGATTCCGCCCATGAAAGCTGTCGACAATTCGTTATTATAGTTGTTTCTACTACTGGTGGTGATGACGTGTGCCATCACATCAGCCATATCATGGAGTTTTCTTGGCAGGATTTGTTCTGACAGGGTATGTGTTTGCCTTCTTTTGAGGCTGAGAGAGTGGGACTTGCCCAAGGCCATCAATGGCTGAGTGGGGATCCCTGGTCTCCAATGCTCCAGCTACTACCCTACACTAGCTTTCACTTTCACCCTAACTGGAAATAATAATTGGACATCGCCTACAGTATTTAATGCTTCACTTGTATTAGGTTCAGACAATTACAAAAGAAAGATAGAGAAAAATATTTGCATTATTGTACTCCACATGCAAAATGAGTTCCCTTTTCTATACGGGGAAATAAAGGCATGAGAACTGTACCTATCTGACTCATGCTGCATGCCTTATGCTGCATATGTTATATGTTATCTGTCAAAGTGTAACCTAGATAAGATTTATTAGCTCTGAGAATATTTATAGGTAGTGTTTAGTGCTGTGGCTCCTCTCAGCACTCCAGACTGTAGACTAAATGAATTCACCCTGGAGCCTTCAATAAGTAACTTTCTTCCTTCCTCTGTCCTCTTTCTCAAGCTCTGCCCTGGGTGGAATAATAATACTAATACAACTTGCAGAGTTGCACTGACATCTGTTATAGAGCTTTAAATAATTACTATATGGCCGTTGTGATCTTATTTACTTATTAGTTACATTTATTTCCTGCCTTTCCTCCCTTGGCTTTCTGCAATATGTCAGTATAAGAGAATGGCTGGCCAAAGGTCACCCAGTAAGTTTAATAGTTCAATGAAGACTAAACCTTGATCATACTATTATGAAGTAAAGTATTCATGAGGGAAATCAAACTCTCAGATTATTTTACTAAAGTAGGGCAAATGGTGGCTGCGTGAACACACAGAGAATTGCTGTTATCAATTCTATTTAAAAGCATTAAGATACTTATCCATTGTGTGTGTGTGTGTGTGTACACACACACACACACACACACACAAGTGGTTCAAAAGGTTTTGCCTCCTGTGTCATAAAGACATTATGAATGAACATATAACAGCAAAAGTTGCTACAGATCATAGCCTGAACTATCCTCTACACAAAACTACCGTTCAACATAGTCGCCATCAATTTGGACATATTTGCGCTGTTTAACCCTCTGGTTAAAGGCTCTGGTTACATCCCATATAGACTATGTGGGGTTACCTTTGAAGACTGTTTGGAAGCTTCAGATGGTCCAGTGTGTAGCAGCCAGGTTGCTAACAGGAGCAGTGCTCAGGGATTACACAACTCCTCTGTTGTGCCATCTCCATTGGCTGCCAATTTGCTACTGGACACAATTCAAAGTGCTGGCTTTAGCCTATAAAGCCCTAAATGGTTCCGGCCTACCTGTCCGAATGTATCTCTCCCTATGAACCATTTAAGATCTTCTGTGGAGACCCTTCTCTCGATCCCGTCTTCGTCGCAGGTGCTCCTGGCGGGGATGAAAGACAGGGCCTTCTCAGTGGTGGCTCCTTGGCTATGTTACTCCCTCCCTAGGATATTAGATTGGCCCCTTCCCTACTGACATTCTGAAAAAAATTAAAAGCCTGGATTTTTGAACAAGCCTTTGAAAATGCGGTGTAATGCATGCATATGGAACCCAGGAAAGAATGAACATAGAACGGCTTGACAATGTCTTTGGAAAATGAGCTAATAGGAAGTTACTGGTATTTTATGCTTTTAATGCTTTTACAGTGTTTTTATAATGTGTGTTAATTGTTTTTAATTTTGTTTTAATCTTGTTTATGTTAATTGTGGCATCTCACCGTGCCAGTGTAAGCTGCCTTGAGTTGCCTTCAGGCTGAGAAAGGCAGCATAGAAATGCAGTAAATAAATAAATAAATAAATAAATAAATAAATAAATAAATAAATAACCCAGGCATCAAAACTATATTGGAAAAATCAGGGTTTTGCTATGGGACCCATGATTTAAAGCTGTTTGAATGTCACTCAAGCAGTTGAATCTGAAACCACGTAAGTTGTCTTTCAGAGGTCTAAACAGGTAGAAGTCAGAAGGGGCCAAATCATAAACATTCTTCAAGAGATTATGGATTTCCTTAGGTGCACAACTTTCCTTTGCCAGAAATTCAATGACAACTCTTTCTTTTAGCTTCAGATTCATGGTTCTAATCCGCCAGTTGGAAAAAGAAAAGATTATATCAGTAGATAAGGTTCCCTCTATCTTATCATGTATAGATAGACCAGTAGCTGAAAAAGAAACAAAAGTTAGAGTGATGGAAGCATTACTTTTTGACCCACCCTCATGTG